GACGTTGATAAATAAAGAGCATCCTCTGTTCTCAATCTATCTCCGCATTTAAACCATCAATTCAGGATTAAAGAAAAATGTCTCGTTTAAAGGGATAGGCAGCCTAGAAACTTATTAAAGGGAGGGATATTGGGCAAACGATTTTATGGAGTGTCGACAGTAAATGTGGGCGAGTATTTTCTCATTTTCTAACGCAACGGATCGGTCCACACACACACACACACACACACACAAGAGCGCTGGCTCTACGCGTGTCCGCGCGCGGTTGCATGTTAGGATGTGTGAGCATGGCAGATCAAAAGCCAGTTGTACTAATTCCATCTTTATTTTAATTTAAAGGTTCACAGAGAACAAGTACCTTAATCATAATAGGAGAAGGTATTTGGGGAGAAAAAAATTTCCCTTCCAAAAAAAAAAATCAACTTCAAGCTGTTCAACCCAGATAATGGACTATAACAATAGATTGTAAATTACACATAAAACTGTTAGCTATGTTTCCACATTGGAAATAATACCGTTCCTGTAGCTACAATACATGTCATGAAATTACATAATGTTAATGTACCAACCTTTGTAAGCTGTTAAATATATATTGCAGTAAACTTTAACTTAATAATATAAAATGATCATCATATCATCATAAAACACTGCAATGTACATTACTGATAACTAAAATAATAAGAAAAAAAAGTAAATTGTAAAATAAACAAAAGTTGCTCAAATTCAAACAAATGTGAATTCTGGAACTGCATGCATTCACTAAGCCTAAACACATATTGGACCTGTACAAAGACCTTGAACCTTCTGTCTGTCTTTCAAAGACAAGTGGGAACAGAAGTCAGCTTATCAAGCCCAATTATCCCTGGGGAAGAGGTTACCTGCTGCACTTGTTGTACATTAAAATCAGCTTGAAGCTTTTGTATACAAATGAATTCCTCCTGACAATCCCATGACATACTCTAAGTCTAAATCACTGTAATCCCTGCACGTATGTAGGCCTACCATGTTTGATTCAAGGCAAGTTCGGACACCTTCAAAAAACATATTGCATGTTAATATTAACTCAAAATGCTGGAGTAACTTTTAACTTCAAACAAGAAACAGTTTTTAATGTTTTCCATCTTATGATGGTCTAAATAGACAGTGCTATCAGTTATTCACCATTCAGCAGACACTTGTCACCCAGAGGGATGTACAGTACACTAACTGCAGAGACAGTCTCTGGAGTAACAGTGGGTTAAGTGCACTGTTCAAGGCAATGCCTCCATTTGAACGCACTTTGATGTCCTTTTTGCTTCACAACTATATTGATGTCCAAGTGCAAATTATCTTATTTCTCAAGTCTTATGTAAATTTAGCAGTCAAGGTCACTTTTTCATAAACACTAACAAAACACATCTGAATAAAGGAAAACAATCAGAGGGCTCTCTCTGTTTCTGATTAAGGGTGAGACATTTTTTCATAATTTTTGGAATGATCTTAGTCTACTTACTAAATATATACTTACTATATAGTAACGAACAGAGGTATAAACCAGTCTACTATAGACTGCTATGCACTGCTGTAGTGAATTAATTAAACAAATGCTTGTTAAAATGGACACATATAAATGGACAGTTATTGCCCTCTAGTGGTTACATTCTCAGCTCTCAGCAGGATGACGTCATAAAATATGTAAAAATATATAAAACAAAGTGCATGTGGATTTTGAAAGATTACCTAATAATCTGATAATATGTCAAAAACCATTTTACATAAATAAATAATTGTCTTGAACTGTTTAAACTCAATATACTACCTAACCTTTCTTAACTAATATGCAATCATCTTTCACAAAATATTCCCTTAAATCACCTTGTTTTAATAATGTTTAGACCTTTCCTGATTTTTATTCTCATATGATATCATATAACATTTCATAACACAAGACAATTATAAGTCTTTATTTTCCTCATATCTCTCATTTGAAACCCTACTTCACATGATCTCGCCTATTTATCTGCTACCGTGTTCAGAAGAGATGAATTACTTTGATTTATCTCACTGTCTTCACTCAGCCTCCCTCTCTCTTGCTTTCTCTTTTTTTATTTCTCCCTCAGTGTCTCCTCTCTTCAGTGAGTGCCATGTTGTGCTCTGTTAGATTAGAGCTTATCTGAGATGAGATGAATGCATGTGACATTGGTATAAAAGCAAGGGGGTTTGGTTTTGCATTTTAATGTCAGTGATTTCACCTGCTAATTTTAGCATGTTAGATTTGCTGACCTATTCTTGAGAATAGCAGCTCCTATATTTAGCCCATATATTACATATACAGTGGGTATATAAAAGAATCACCCCCTTTAAAATAATCACATTTTGTTGCTTTGCAGCCTGAAATTAAGATGGACAGTTTTTGTTTTATCCAGCTGTATTTACTCAGTGCAACTTATAACATCCAAGTGAAAGATATAACACCAACATGTCAGAAAAATAAAAAAACAGAATCACTGAGTTGGAAAAAGGATGACCCCCCTCCTAAATGACTCAATCAGGTGTAGCTTATCACCTTCTCAATGGCAAACAAAACCATTTGACTGTCAACTGTGATGAGCTGTGGTCATTTTGATTAGCTCAGCATAAAAAGAGCTCTCCTGGAGTATGTCATTGGTAGTGCAACTGAAGCAAACAATCAGCTATGGGTGGTAAGAAACTGTCAAAAGATCTCCGGGATAAAGTTGTGGACAGGCACAGGAGATGGATACAATTTTTTGTCAAAGGCTTTATCAATGCCTAGAAGCACAGTGAAGTCTATTAGGCTATTAAGAAGTGGAAGGTATTTGGTACAACACAGACCCTCCCTGGATCAGGACGTTGCTCCAAACTGGATGAAAGAGCGAGGAGGAAACTGATCAGAGAGGCTACCAAGACGCCTACAGCAACTCTGAAGCAGTTGCAGGAATTTATGACAAAGAGTGGTCATTGTGTGCATGTGAAAACAATATCACAAATTCTCCCCAAATGTGGCTGGTATGGGAGAGTTGCAAGAAAACGTTTCATTTGTGTGAGAAGCAATAAAGTTGCTGGTTTTACAAGGTTTTCTTTCTTTCTTTTTTTATTTTTATTACATTTTATTGAATCCAATAAGGGTCTGTTTAACCTGGAACATAACTGGGTTGTATATTCAGATATTGAACCTAATACAAGTGCTAGTAGCGTGAAAGAATAATAAACTATGGGCACACTATTGTGTGTTTAAATCTGAGTGTTTTTTAACTGTATGTAAGTGCGTTTTTGCTTGTTCCTATCATGTACAGTCTATACTCAGAGTCAGAGGTGCACTGGGATTGCAGTAAGCAGGCGCTTCTGTACTAAAACTGAGTCAGCACTTTCTAAGGTACTTCATTGACTTTAACCCCCAGTTAAACACATACACGCTTCCACACAACTGTGGCACTGGCATTCCATCACCCCCTCTGTAATGAAGAGAATGGCTTGTTAATTGCCCCATGTTATTTATGATACCGAAGGACTGTATGCATTATTGAAGAAATACTCGGTTGTTTCTTCGCAAGCAGCTCGATGCAATTGTCCGTTAACTCTCGTTGATATAGTCTTTATGAGGCAATTGGACGTATTGGAAAATAAACTATCCAAAGATGATGTCTTGCTTGGGGTGGGTGCTGCTTACGGGTTGCATGCGCTACTGCCACTGTTTCCAAGATACCCACACAGTTTCCTTGGCAACCGGAGAGAGCACATGGATAAAGTGTGCGCAGTAGTAATGACGCTTACGATACTTCCTTTTTTCATCCAAAACAGTGGTGTAATAATGGTGGGCGAATCTTTGAGGATTACAATAATGTTCATGCCGTGTTTTACAACACACACGGCACTGTGCTTCTGGAACAGAGTTTCGATTGTCTTTAGTAGCGTTTGCGCCGACGTCATAGCGAACCGTAACCCATTAGATCAACGACAGCCTGCTGCAGCGAGCAGACCACCAAGAGTGACACCCACCTGCAAGCTCATCGACGGAATGTGAAGGAAACAAAACAGCCACAGTTCGTTACAAATACAAAACTTTTATAAATGCATATACACGTTTTTTATTAATGCACAGAGTTAGCAAACTATGTCAGTTTAGGTCAAACGGAGTAAAATTTAGGAGTAAAATTTCGTAGACATGGTTTGAAGGCTTTTTTGCACTCTAAAAATATTTTCTCAATCTGAACATATTCTTAACTGTAAAAATGGAAAAAAGAGTAAACATGCTAAACCTATTCATTGACAAACTGAATAGTACATTGTAAAATTTTTATTATTGTTATTTTTTAAGTAATAGGCTACGTTTTAATGATCTAATGGCATGTGGGAACCTTCAAGTTTGTTTGGATTCTTATGTTTAAAATAATTGATTTCTTTTTTTTGTTATTAATTAACTTTTGTGTTGTTTAGGATATTTATTTAGCCTGCCTAATGTTAATAGCATGTATTTACGTTTCTTTTTAACAAAAAATAAAATCAAAAATAGAAATAACTGCATAAACCAACTAGCCAAACATGAGGTTAAATAAAATAAAATAATATAAACTCGAGTAAAAGTGTTCTTGTTTTAAGAAGACTGTGACCAAGAATGAAAATGCACAATTAGTGCTAATTATTAAAAAATTATTTGTCCGTGAATTAATTTGCACTTGTTGACAGTATATCTTAGATGAGCGATTTTCAAAGTGTCACCAAAACAAATATATTTTATAGGCTATCCCATACTTGCCTCGTATATTTGATCATAACTTTCGCATGCTTAATGAGAGGCATGCAGTCCTATTCATTATCAATTCAAATACATCTTGATTGAAGTATTTGGGTAAAGAGTCACGGCGAGTTCATGTGTTCCCAGTGTCGCGCGGCGCTGTCCAATCACCTCCAATCATAGGCGGTCCGATCCGTCCCTGTTTCACACAGCGTTTCCTCCCCGTCCCTGCCTCCTCCTCCTCCTCCTCATCCTCTCCTCCCCTCCGCTTGGCTGCCTTATCATCGCTTCCTTATTGCCAAACCTGCAAAGACAGGGCTGTACTGAATGCAGCGTAATTTTGACCCATGTTCCATTAGCTGAGCGGCCCTGAGGGCACGAGGCTACCGCGCGGGACTGTAATGCTACACTGTCCTCCCTCTCCGGCCAGTTCATCCTCAGCAGCGCAGAGCTATGGACCTCAACCCGTAGTGCTCTTCCAACACGGCGTATCTGCAGTCACCTGCGACTCCAGTAGGCAATCAATATTGATAGAGAATTGTAAAGGATTACAGCCATAAGGCAATACGTCGGGCGGGGGGAGGCTGGAATTATGAAGGTATGTGACAGACCATCGCATTATTGCTTGGCTGACCATCCGATACTACTGCCATATGCTTTTATCCATTCATTTCTGTAGGTGTACCGCACGAATTCTATTATGTCCTTGCGTGGCGACTGATGCCAGGAGAGCCGCTTTGCCTTTGCAGCATTTAACGCCGCGCGGGCTCTCCTTGTCAGCTGCTCTGTTTGTCAACTATCTCCACCACATCTTCTACCGCGATTCATTTCAATCTGCATGTGCTACTCGTTTCTATCTTTAATAAAAGATGTTCGCGTGAAAGCGCCTCTCAGACAACAATAGGAGTACATTAGCGCGAGCGCGTGAGTGAACTGTTGGTCCACGTAACGTTAGTAAAACAGCGGCCTCGAGCACTCCTGTTTGGAGGCAACGTAACCCTGTCAGGTTTAAACGAATATGGGTGTTTTTCTCTCTGTGTGTGTGTGTGTGTGTGAGAGAGAGAGAGAGACACAGAAAGTGTAGAGTGTGTAATGCGAGAGCGAGCAGGTGCTGAGAAAATGTGAAAATGTAGTTGCGACTCTCCGTGCTGTGTGTTTGCAGTGATGTGAGATGAGATGTGGGATTCATAGTCCACTCTGCTGGTAAATAATGACCATTGCAGTCATTGGCTAGCAGCATGCAGCCCCTCTCGGCACCATCATAACCCTCCACAGCGTTTATGGCCACACACTTACAGCATATCAGTGTGTTTTATTGTGAGATCTCAGGCATGTTATGAGGAGAAATGGTAGTTACATGTGTTTGTCCGCTGAGCTATCTGTGAGGGAATTTGGCAGGGCATGTGTCATTCAGCAAACAGTCCATTGTTAAACAGAATTAGAATAAGATTCATTGCCAAGTATGTTTACACACACACTGTGTGTGTGTGTGTGTGTGAGAGAGAGAGACACAGAAAGTGTAGAGTGTGTAATGCGAGAGCGAGCAGGTGCTGAGAAAATGTGTCAAACCAGTTGCGACTCTCCGTGCTGTGTGTTTGCAGTGATGTGAGATGAGATGTGGGATTCATAGTCCACTCTGCTGGTAAATAATGACCATTGCAGTCATTGGCTAGCAGCATGCAGCCCCTCTCGGCACCATCATAACCCTCCACAGCGTTTATGGCCACACACTTACAGCATATCAGTGTGTTTTATTGTGAGATCTCAGGCATGTTATGAGGAGAAATGGTAGTTACATGTGTTTGTCCGCTGAGCTATCTGTGAGGGAATTTGGCAGGGCATGTGTCATTCAGCAAACAGTCCATTGTTAAACAGAATTAGAATAAGATTCATTGCCAAGTATGTTTACACACACACAAACACACACACACACACACACACACACACACACACACACACACACACACACACACACACAAAATGGTCTTGAAGCTTCCAGTAGGCTACATAGAAAAAAATAAAAATACAACTAGACAAATAATATTAATGTAGACAATACACAAGATAGAAGAAAATAATCTATGTAGAGATACAATTATGCAAGAGAATGTGAATAAGAAAGGAACAAAATAAAATTATAAAAAAAAAAAAATGCACGTGACCCTAAAGAAGGTCATCCATGTCTTGGAAGATACCAAGAAAACTAGAAAACTAAAACCATAAAAACTCTTGTTACTTGAAATAAAATAAATATGAACTGAAATAAAATTGAAATAAAATAAACATTAACTGAAATAAAATAAAATATAATAATACTTTTTTGTATTTAGTATGAACTAAATATTTGATGTTTTAGTGTTAACTCACTAAAACTGAAATAAATAATTAAAATGATTAATATTAATGATATTAATTAATAATAATAAAATGACAAACACACAAAATGGAAAATATATTATAAAAAACGAATAAATAAATGAAAATATAAAAAAATATAATACTAACTATAATAGCATATTACAAAAATATCTCTGGTCCTCAGATCAGAACAATTTAGTCATCACATGCTCACACTCAAAAGTTTATTGGCATGACAAGCGATCAGCATGACAACTCCAGGTTTACATTGCTAAAGCATTTGTAAACATTATATTCACATTATCACACACATTATGCTCATTTTTATCCATTTTGCATATGATAAAGTATGTAAAAATATGATAAAGTATGTCAATCACTGACACTTTGGCATGTTGCAGAACTGCCTCCCTCCGTCACTCTTCTGTATCTCACTCTATCCTTCCCCCAGGCAACACAGTTTCATACCTCTCCTCTCCTGTCCTCTGCTCTCCCCGTTACATTTACTTGTTACTCTTGTAAAAGCTGCTAGCATGAAGGTTATGGACTTAAATCAACAGCCAATAGTGTCCTCATGCAAATGAGCCTGAGCAGGTGTGCATTGTGGGTATTCATATGTATGAGCATGTGTGCAGGTGCTGTAAAATTTCATCTCTGGAATACATAGTGGACTTGCATGTAATGTGTCAATTTGCAGTGAAAAGACACTTTCAGTGTCGGAATCTGGTTATAAAAGCGACAAGTTGCTGAAATTATTGCATTTGAGCTTGGGAATTGTAGTCCTAAATAAATGTGACTTAAATCATGTTAGAATCACGTCTAGAGTGACCTCTTTTAACTGAAGAGGTTTGTTCTGAGTTCCAGATTGTTTGTTTTTATTGTGGAACCTTGACTGCTGATGTGGAGAAAAAACAAACCCCATGGCTCTTCATCGCTCTGGACGCTTTAATGGTTCAGTACATAACAGCAGACTGATGTACCTGAGGCTCTCTACACAGCAGCGATTCGCAGTGTGATGCCGCAGAGAGATTTTAAACATGTCTCAGAGTGATTCAATATTATTGGGATCTGATTTGTGGAAGTTTGAGTTTTATTTGGCTGTACCTTTTCCATCGAAAAGAACTTCTGAAGACATTTTCTGCCTATGCCAAGCTGATCTTGCTTAAGAAATCCTGCTTAAAACAGCCTAAACTGTTTTGCTGTTTTTAGCTGGTTTAAGAGGCCCTGACCAGATGTAAAGTGCTGCAAACCCATCTGAAACCAGGCAACAGACCAGCCTGGAAGACTAAATAAAATGAGTAAACCAAGTTAGGATTTTTTCCAGAGCAGAGGGTGATGATGTGTAGTCTTGTGTTTCTCTAATTTGGGAGATCAAGTTAATGTTCAGTTCTACAATACAATAAGATCAAGACATCCCATAATCATTTGCTTCACGGGGTCGAAATCAAATTTCCATTCTTCTCTGATTTTCAGTCTTGTTCACAGCATGAACAAATAATTGACATTAAGAGTTGCTGCGTTAGATGTCGACAAAATGTCAAACAAGCAGTGGGATCTCAGCACCCAAATATCCCACCTCAGAATGCCATCCACAAAACTTTCTTCTACATCTCTCTTCTTAGCCCAGTGACATCTGGACATTTAGTTTTCATTTAGGTAGAGCTCTAACCTTATAGTAGGTTTGAAGTCACATTTTGAAAACCGTAAGGGAAGAGTTTTCAACATTCCACTTTTGCTCTACTGTAGCTTGAGTATTAATCCAGCTTATACTTAAAACTTGGCATTGTGTACTACATATTGCTGTTTTATTTACACTACCATGTCAAAAGTTTGGAATAATTACATTTTGTTATGTTTTCGAAAGAAGTCTCTTATGCTCATCAAGGCTTCATTTATTTAACAAAAATCTGTAAAAACAGTAATAGAATGAAATATTAATCAAATAAAAAATAGCTTTTCTATTTGAATATATTCGAATTAAAATGTAATTTATTCCTGTGATGGAAAAGCTGAATTTTCAGCAGTTATTAGTGTTTATTATTAGTGTTATCAGTTATTCAGCAGTCTTCAGTGTCACATGATCCTTCAGAAATCTTATATAAATATGCTGATTAAGTGCTCAAAACATTTCTTATTGTTATAAATGTTGAAAAATGTTTATAAAAAATATGTTAGTATTTTTGTTTTGGAAACATCTTTTGATCAAATAAATGCAGCCTCAGCAAACATACGAGAATTTTGACTGGCAGTTAAGTCGCTTTGGATGAAAGCATGAATGAATAAATGTAAAATAGTCATGTTGCATAGTCATCATATCGAAGATTTCCTGATGCTGTTCGTGCAAACGTAGTTGACTTGGAAGTACACTGGCCATTTGAATGACTTTGAAATGGATCTGTTGCATTGGAAACATTAATTCTTTGCAGGTCTGCCTTAAATGCTCTTGAACGGTATGAAAAACACGAACAGTTCTTTTGTTTGGGGTTATTTTGTTTGGGGTTATACGTTCTTTATTCATAAGTAGGATAGGGTGGCAGTTTTGGGCACCTTTCCAAAGTACTTAATCAATTATTCTCAACATCTTAGCAGCCCATGAAGACTCAGCATGCATATGTAATGCAGAGGATACAAGCAGGATTTAATCAAAGAGGGAAAGGGCTTTAGATGAGTATTAATCCAGCTTATACTTAAAACTTGGCATTGTGTACTACATATTGCTGTTTTATTTACACTACCATGTCAAAAGTTTGGAATAATTACATTTTGTTATGTTTTCGAAAGAAGTCTCTTATGCTCATCAAGGCTTCATTTATTTAACAAAAATCTGTAAAAACAGTAATAGAATGAAATATTAATCAAATAAAAAATAGCTTTTCTATTTGAATATATTCGAATTAAAATGTAATTTATTCCTGTGATGGAAAAGCTGAATTTTCAGCAGTTATTAGTGTTTATTATTAGTGTTATCAGTTATTCAGCAGTCTTCAGTGTCACATGATCCTTCAGAAATCTTATATAAATATGCTGATTAAGTGCTCAAAACATTTCTTATTGTTATAAATGTTGAAAAATGTTTATAAAAAATATGTTAGTATTTTTGTTTTGGAAACATCTTTTGATCAAATAAATGCAGCCTCAGCAAACATACGAGAATTTTGACTGGCAGTTAAGTCGCTTTGGATGAAAGCATGAATGAATAAATGTAAAATAGTCATGTTGCATAGTCATCATATCGAAGATTTCCTGATGCTGTTCGTGCAAACGTAGTTGACTTGGAAGTACACTGGCCATTTGAATGACTTTGAAATGGATCTGTTGCATTGGAAACATTAATTCTTTGCAGGTCTGCCTTAAATGCTCTTGAACGGTATGAAAAACACGAACAGTTCTTTTGTTTGGGGTTATTTTGTTTGGGGTTATACGTTCTTTATTCATAAGTAGGATAGGGTGGCAGTTTTGGGCACCTTTCCAAAGTACTTAATCAATTATTCTCAACATCTTAGCAGCCCATGAAGACTCAGCATGCATATGTAATGCAGAGGATACAAGCAGGATTTAATCAAAGAGGGAAAGGGCTTTAGATCTTGATAAAATACACAGATGTCACACAACAGTGATATACGTGAAGAAACTTGCCTTCGGCTGTAGGGGTATGTCTATGACACGTGAAACATCATCCCAGAGGGATTCCAGAAACATAGCGAACAAAGTGGTAGACAAGATCCAGATGTATATTTAAAGCTAATTTATATATTAATCTTGTATCCTAAGTGCTGAGTCTTATTTTACCTGCATAAGAGGGTTTCCAGCTAACTGTACACACTCATTTCACATTCACACTGTACTGTGTGTGCTCAAGTGAGGTGCGAACACACTGCGGCAAGTTGGATGGACTTTGATACCGGGCATTTGAAGTGCTCACCCCACTGTTTGCTTTTAGTTTTTAAGGTGACTCGCTCTGCTATTTCTCCACAGCTCCAGGCAGAGTCTGTACAACCTGGAGTAATAACTTTCTCTCTCTTTGTGAGGTAATGGAAAAGACCTGCAGCGCCAGAATGCACAGTCTCCTCTCCTCTCCTCCCTGAGTTTACTGCAATGGTGTTACTGTAACTGTAGCTCTGTTGGTATTGTCCATTTAAAGACTCAGCCACCCCACCCTCGCTGATGTATATCAGACGATGCATTAACTAGTGTGTTATCTTTGCACTGCAGGATTGTAATCAGAAAGGCTGAAGTGTGTTATGTAATTTTCAGATGAGTTGCGTTTGTTGTTGCTTGGATTCTAGTGTCTTTAGCTTTTGATTAAATTCTATAGAGACTATATGAGTTGCTATATGTCTAAGCAGCAGGGACATGCATGCAGAGAAAGAGAGAGAGGGCCTTCTGCAGCCAAACCTGATGCGTAATTTGGCAGATCCTCTGTGATACTGATTTGTTGTGTATTTAAAATTTTTTTTACTTTACCATCTTTAGTGGAAAGCCCCGTTGATTTTGCTGGCAAAAACATGTACATTTTTGGTAGCAGAATCGTTGACACCTGAAATAGATCAATGCATTTTTAATGAGCCTGTGTAAATTGTGTTTGTGGATGGAATCACCCCCCACTGCGGTTTGACCATCTGTTTGCTTGTTTTGTTTCAATTTGGAGACGCGTATCATGTGTTTAGCTTGTGGAATACCACTGGGATTGGTTTGATTTAAGAAAAAAAAAGTATCTTATGCTCATCAAGTCTGCATATTTTTAATAAAATAAATGCAGACTTGATGAGCATAAGAGACTTCTTTTAAACGTAACCTTTCAATATATTTTAAAATTAAATTTATTACTGCGATAGCAGCCATTACTCCCAGTCTTCAGTGTCACATGATTCTTCAGAAATTCATGGAAACTTTTTTCAGCATTCTTTAATGAATAGAAAGTTCAAAAGAACAATATTTATTTGAAATTGATACATTTACTGTCACCTTTAATTAATTTAATGTGTCCTTGATGAGTAAGTAATAATTTTTTATATGTATAAGCAATAATTAAAAAAAATCTTAATGATTCCAAACTTTTGAACAGTAGTGTAGGTTAAATGCATATTTAAAATATGTTTGTTACTTAAGGCTGTCACTATAACCAATAAACAAATATGATGACATTCATGATAAGAGACACACAGGAAAAATGTTTGAGACTTCAAAATGATCCGAAATTATTCATATTCAATTAAACTATTTTGAAAACAAAAATTTTGGTTGGTTACCCTGAATATGTTTTTGTGCAAAGACCCTGATTTGTAGGTAACCCTGCAGAAAACCCTATGCTAGTTTAAGGTGGTCTTCTGACCTGTCCAAGCTGGTCTTCAGTTGGTTTAACTTGGTAGACAGCTGGGGCCCGTTCTTCGTACGTTGCTAACTCAGTTAGCTGGATTTGATTGTTGACGATTTGGCATGATCTTGGATTATTTGGTTCTTCGAAGCTCATCCTGGAGTTGCTGTCATAGCAACAGGTCCGTAAGCTTAAACCTGCTCTGGAGCAGGTTTATTTCATGTAAACAGGATTAGATCGCATCTATTTAAGCAGAACTGATACTTAAAATCTGTATGCTACCACCGCTACTTTATTACAAGTGTATCCTACTGATCCAGGGACAATAATTTAAAATAATAATCATTTAAAAATTAATTTAAAGATAGTATAATAATGTTGTGTAGTCTTTAATACTATAGACACAGCCGGTTTTACTCAATGAAAGATTTATTCGTCATAAAATGATTACTTCATAATTGTATTCGAGTCTTACACACATGCTATACAGATAATGTAGAGTCGTGCATTAATTTGAGTGGTGACAGCTATTATGGGAGTGGCTTGATGGAG